GTGATATGTGCAATTTGTTCAATAAAATGTATTAAAAAATAGAAATAAAAATAAAGATAGAAATAAAAAAATTTAAAAAACATAAATTAAATTCAAACTAAAATAAAAATAGAAATAAATAAAAAAATAAATTAAAAATATAAATAAAAAAATATAAAAATAAAAATAGAAAACAAACAAACAAAAATAAAAATCTATGACCGCCAGTGTGCGAATCATCCGCTCATCCGCCTACGTCATTAACGTCATCACGTACGCGACGTCACACCGGTCGTCCTATCCTATCCAGCCTGTAGCAGGCGGCAGTAGGTGGCAGTTTCCTGACTGGAGCTGAGGAAAGCAGGAGCAGGTAGGTGAAACAGTCCACTGCATTATATACAGTAAGATAACACTCAGACCTTTAAACGTGCTTCTCTTAAATTAATGTGTTCTTTTAACCATGTCACTTTTGTTGGAGCTGAGCTCGCGAACCAACCTTTGCTGTAAGTTAGCGTATTAGCTGCTAGCTAACACCAAGTTATACTTTAGGAGAGCAGAGTTGTAAACTAAGTAACGGTATGTCGTATGTTATATTTATTATTACGTGACGTGATTAGCTTAAGCTACATTGAGTGTGTAGGCACAGTAAACACATTGGCATGGGTCACAGTCGTTTGGAAAACCTGTAACTTTATTTAAATGGCTAACATTCATTTCATGCTTAGAGTGGGTGGAGGTGTCTTTACAGCACAGCAGCTCATTGTGTTTAATGCATTATTCTTTTATGTATTTATGAGAAATATTGGCTTGGCTGCAACTAACTGCTATTTTTATTATAGATTAATCTTTCATCCCATAAAACTTATCAACTAAGGACCTAATCTTTTCAGGACTGTATGGACTAGTCCTCAATGACACAACTGGACAGCTGCAGTCATCTGACTCCCTATGGCTGAGACATGAACTAGGCCACATCTGTAATGTTTAACTCTGCTCATCACCGTAGGGGCGGTTAGACCAGAAGGCCACCATGGTGCTCAACCCTGTCATCTCCAAGCTCACCGGGAAACTGGTCGTGCTGGCAAGCGCTTCACCCAGGAGACTGGAGATCCTCAGCAATGCTGTATGTGTTAAAGTCATAAGAAGTGTGTATATATCATGACAACTGCACATTTTGTTTGATTGTGAACACATGAAATTGTACATATTGAATGGAGCTGGAAAAAGGTTTCTCTTCTGTAGTCCATGACTCTGCTTTCAGGACCAAAAACTTCTGACTTAGAGTCAAGCTGTCCATGTGAATGTATGAATCATATAAACACTTCTCAAACATTATTACAAAGTTAGTTTTTTTCATATGCCAAATAGTAGTTAATCAAACAAATGTAGGTGTATCTTACTTGTAAATATTTACCAATCCAGTCATGGCAAGCTCACCAATCCAGTCATGGCAAGCTCACAACAAAACAAGCCTGTGAAATCCAGGGCTGAATGAATCGGAAATGATTTGTTTGACCTGATAATAATGGTGTATTTATAACTCAGCAGATTAATCAGCTATACTGATATATTGACCCATATTAGCTTGTTGCAGATACTTTTGTATCGGTGTATAAGTTGGTCGACAAGTAACAAGAAACTGCAGCACAGAACACAAAATTTACAAACAATGTTTCGGCTGAATATGTGTACCACCAAAGAAAGCTGGTTTTTGTTTTTTGTTTTTTAACTATAAAATATCACACTCAGTATCTTAGTCACAATGTTTTTGTGGATATTCTGTTTCTGTGTAAAAGGATGATTCGGGTATTGAATTCGAAATTCAAAAAGGATGACGACTGATGAATAATAAAACAAATTCAGTGAGCCTCAGTGGTTCTTAGGTAGATGTACAAGTGCATTTCAATACAAATCTGATATCATACAGCATGTGTGCATTGACAGAGACATACCGAAAACTTAAAGTGTAAGTTTACATTTACCAGTCCCTCCAGAAAATCGCGTTCTTGCGATCGCAATAATTAACACAAATTCAACGAAAGACTGCAATATCTGCAGGGGCTTGCAATTTTTCAAAAGTCATTTGAAACGTCATCAGACGCATCATCAAATCGCGCTAATGGCATTGCAGTATGGAGAAATGCTCTGTATTGACATAAGAATTTGCACTGTTTAAATGCATACAATATGTGTTGAATGTATTAAAATGTTATGTTTACCAGGGCTTGAAGTTCTCCGGCACGGTGCCGGATTTCCGGCGCAGGGATATTCTGGTGCAGGAATATTTTTTTCTCGTGAATATTTTATCATCTTGCCGTAGCAACAGTGATTTAACCAGTCGTTTTAAAGCAAAGCAAAGTGATAGTTCCAATTACCAATGGTGTATCACATTACTCAAGGTAAACAAGGACTTCTAGCCAATCAGAGGCAGAATAGAACGGGCCTTAAGTTTTCACAGTCTCTCATTCAGTCATGCCACGGACACACCGGAAGCAGAACCGAAGCGCAGCGCCCAGCAGCGGAGGCAGTTTTCAGTCGGCGTCCATGTTAACCTATCTGACTGTCTACACAGGCCGGTGAGCAGAGCGGAGCGCCCGCGGAGGCTCGCGCACTGCAGCGCTTCAGTTCGGCATCTGGTCTATTTTTCACACGAGCCGTGAGCGCCTCTGTCAAGCTGGATAAAGCGGATCATACCAAACTGGAAGTCGGACACAGAAAAGACGAGAGAATCCGGCCAATTTTCAAAATAAAATAAATTTAAAAAATAAAAGCCTGTTTAATTATGATGTTGCTTGTCTGTCTATAAATATTTGTTCAGTTTGGTCTAGACACGAGAGAGATGAAAACGCACACACACACAGAGAGAGAGAGAGAGAGAAATGGCTACAGGTTGGGGGTTGCAATTCACACATACAGAAAGAGAAAGAGGTGGTGTGGTAGAGATAAGTGAGATGATTTGTGAAGCCACCAATGAGTTGTCACTTGCAAATTAGCTCAGTCAGATAGAAGATGCTCCTTGGTGTCAGAGGTTGTGAGTTCAAGCTTCAACTGATGTAAAACGTACATTTTAATGCGTTCTTGTTGTCTTCCTATTCTGCCACTTGTTGCTCAGAATTGCCTAAAATTGCCCGGCCCCAACCATTTCGTAGTAGCTGATGACCAAATTTTCCTTTTTTGGTGAACTGTTCATATTTCATTATTAAAAACCTTGAAATTGATATTCTAGCTCCTTGATGTGATACTTGATTGATACTCTCAAAGTGCACCAGATTAATTCGTTTAGACGTCAAATGTTCAAAATTTTCTTCCGCGGGGGGGGGGGCATGCCCCCGGACCCCCCTAGCACAGAAGGCTCTCTAAAAAAAATTTCAGGCACAGGATTTTTTCTTGCTTCAAGCCCTGGTTTACAGAAGGTGTAGCTTACATGTTGTTTTACAGTCACATTGTCTGGTTTGAGAGAAACTAATTAAATAAAACTAAAGAAGAGAACTATAAAAAACATTTGCAGCTGTTTTTGTAATATTCAGTATGATGATTCAAGTGATTTTATGACTTATTTTTTTGAAGGTAGTAGTTTTAGATTTGCCGCAGTTTCCCGCAAAAAATCGCATAAAAATGCCACAATATGTATCACAATTTTTGACAAAAATTGGCCGCAAATTCAAGTCTTTTTTTGCCGCGAGATCCTGGAGGGACTGATTTACATGTATAAGTTTAAAGTATAAGTTTAGTTTACATGTTACTTTAAGCTTTTGGTATGTTTCTGTCCACCAGTGTGTCTACAGGTCCTTAAAAAGCCTAAAAATCTCTTAAATTAAGTTTTCTTAATATTAGGCCTTGAAAAGTCTTTCACTGTCTTAAATTCCGATTTGATGGGTCTTAAATATTTCTGCGAAAATTACAACAGCCTGACAGACCCAATGACTGCTTACAATCATTGGACACACCTAAGAATTGCAATAATAAATAGCATTAATAAATAGCATTAATGACAGTGATGAGATTTTGTTTTCTTTTTACATTAAACATATTAAACTTAAACTCACCCAATTGTTGTCATTTTGCCTTACTGTACATTTTGAACTGACATCACTGTATTTACATGAGAAAAGTACTTATACACCAACACACAAATATATATATAATTTGTATTTCCATTGCAGGTTTGGTCTTAAATGTCATATAAGGTGGCCTTAAAAAGGTCTTAAAAAGCCTTAAATTTAACACATATGCTGTGCCAAACATTTCTCTGATTTCAGATTTGTGTTGCAGTAAACTTACATACATGTCTATATTTGCTCAGCCTCCCCACATCATACTGAATCCCGCTACTTTGGAGGAGTCAAAACAATGTTGTGTAATGCAGACTGTTAGGTTGGGACATCTACAAGGTCAACAGCTTATCTTAACCTCCAGACACCCACAGCCTCGACACATACATGCATGCTGACAATAAAGGACTCTCAGACCACACCATGAACATATACAGTGCACAAGTCATACATTTCTTCATATATAATATTTTTCTCTACCACAAGAGTATAATTTTATTGCTTTTTTTCTCTTGCACATCAGGGCTTAAGGTTTGAGGTGGTCCCATCCTGGTTTAAAGAAACTCTGGACAAGGGACTTTTCAAGGCACCTCATGAGTATGCTGTTGAGACAGCCAAACAGAAGGCCCTGGAGGTGGCCAGGAGGATGCCCTTTGTGAGTTAAGCTCCTTTTTGTGTGACAGTGTATGTTACCCTGTTGAGTGATGTGTCGATAATATTTTCTTTGCTTCAGAAACACCTGAAGACTCCAGACATAGTAATCGGAGCAGACACTATTGTGGTAAGAGCTTTGCGAATTTTATCTGTCTACTCTGTCTACGCTACACTCTAAATTCACTTTGGCTACTATTTTTAATTTATTTAATTTTAGACTATAGATGGCATGATTCTGGAGAAACCAGCTGACAAAGATGATGCTTACAGGATGCTCTCAAGGTGAGAGTTGTCATTGTTGTTTCTAACTTTAGAAACAAAACAAACGGACAGGATGTTTTTCACAGGCTCTGTCTTCTTTATTTTCTCTTCCAGTTTAAGTGGTAAAGAGCACAGTGTCTTCACTGGTGTAGCTATTGTCCTCTGCCATGAGAAAGAGAGTAAGTACCAACTGATAATGGTTAGACTTACAATTTGTCCTGTGCAGAAACTCACTAAGGAAAACTTGTTAGAACCGTTAAAAAGAAGTGTTACAATGAAGGATGTTCATATTGAATGTGGCTTTAGTTTCAAATAATGAGGTAACATATGTAGAAGCAATCCCTGTCAGCATGAAACCTCTGGTTTCCCACTGTCCTGAACACACCATTTACAAGAGGTTTATCTACTCTGGCTACACTATGATGTCATAGTGTGCAGGATTTCTTTATGTGGTCATCTGGTCATACTCTTTTAAGACCCTGACACACCAGAGTCAGGGTCAAAGTTTGGCCATTGGCCATTGGCTGCATGACAGTTAAGCGGCCTTGTACATGAAGATAAACACTTAAAACACTTAATAGTTTAACCGACTAATATTTCTTGTACGGGCGTTTTAATCGTTTAGACGACTAATCACGCACATCCCTGGTGTGTTCATGTGCAAGTTTTTGGCTGAGGCACATCGACATGAGGTGGCAAAGCAGAGGGTTCTCATCACTGCTAGTTCTCCGTCAGTTTGGTGTGTCTGGCCCTTTAAAGTCATTCCCCGGCCGTGGTGATGGTGCAGAAAACCCAGAAACACTGACCAATCTGAGCAGACTGGGCTTTGTTTTAAAGAGACAGATGCTAGACGAAGCCTTCTCAGACAGAGGGTGAATACAGGTGTTCCGGCACAAACAGTATGAGAAACATTAAGTATTTTTTTTTTAGCGTTAAAGCATATAAAACAACCTTAAATACAATTATGAACCTTAAAATGAGCACAATACGCCCCCTTTAAATGTCCAGCAAGAATATGCGAGGAGAAACTGAGCAGTAATGTACTGTAGATTGCATACTAATCTACTAAACATATATGGAGGGCTTTACTGGCCAAATGTCGTGCACACGTTTCATTTTTAAACCTCTCCTCCCCCCCAGACGAAGAAGTAGATTATCAGTTGATTGACTTCTACGAAGAAACAAAGGTGAAGTTTGCTGATCTGTCAGAGCAGATGCTGTGGGAGTACATCAATAGCGGTGAACCCATGTGAGTATGGACGTTTGAACTTTCACATATTTCTAATAGCTATTGATTTCTCTTAGTGTAGTAACGTAACCGAGCATTCATTCAGTGGATGACTGTCAGTGGGTGGGAGCTTCATGAACCTGTTGCTTTTTGGACTTTGATGCTTTGAGTTTTGTTCTATCTGTGTTTGCCTTGTCCTGTTTGACGGGGAGCATGTCAGCAAAAATGTAGATCTCTACGTGGGTCAATGAGAGTGCATTGTTTGATTAGTTCTGCATTTGAAGAATAAGAAGAAGAAGAAGAAGCAGAAGTATAATACAAACAACCACTGTGTACATGAGTGCAAGTGCTTTTGTATGAATTGAGTATTATTGTAACTGTCGCTGTACAAGTGAAATGTTTGCGTCTGTGTGTCAGGGACAAGGCAGGAGGCTACGGCATTCAGGCCCTCGGCGGGATGCTGGTTGAGTACGTCCATGGAGACTTCCTCAATGTTGTGGGTTTCCCCCTCAATCGCTTTTGCAAACAGCTGGACCTTATTTACAACTGCTGTACTTCCTTCTTGGACCAAGAGAGTGCGCCTGTGCAGCTGAGTCACAACAGCACTCCCATAACCTCCATACTCACTCAGCCCTCACCCAGCCTGCCAGCTCAGTCCAGCCACAGTCCCAGCTCTTCAGCCAAACACAACTCCTCATCCAGCTCATCTGCCAAGCATACACACCAGAATTGCTCTTCCGCCAGTCCCGCCCATAAAGTTAGTTTTCTCACCCTACGAGCACAGTGTCACCTTTCATTTGTCATTATTTGTAAGTAACAGCCTCCTCTTGTAGGTGAAAAGAAAAGGCAGTCAAAGTGAAGTGGATGAGAGTCCCTGGGCATTGGTCAACAGCCTTTCTGAACACACAGAATCTGAGAATACAACACTACCGCCGATGACCAGCAGAGGGCAGACGATAGAGCTCAATGTGACAGAGCATGAGGACAGTGAGCCAGAAAAAGAGGACCTGCAGCGAATGATGGGTCTGATGGATGGATTCAAAGCCTCAAAGGTAATTAGAGTTAACAGGGTGTCCACAGGTACAGAAAAAGTCTTAAAATATCCTAATTTCAACATTTCAACATAACATTTAAAAAATAACACACTTTATAAATATTACGCCTTCAGAGTCTTTAAATAGACTAAAATTTGAAACTGTTAAGTCTTAATTGCCACAGACATTTTTCATTTATTAGTCTGTTAATTATTGTCAAAATGAGTACTGTCTTTTTACTTTATACTTGCACTTACTTAGCTCTACTAACTATAATAAAACCTACTTCTGCACAGGATCACAGATATACTTACCTTTATACTTACCTGCAATGCTTGAATAAGAAAATAATAATAATAATAATCTTTATTTATAGAGCGCTTTTCAAAACAGAGTTACAAAGTGTTTTACATGTCAATAATTAAAACAGACAAGATGTGAAAACAACAACTTTTAAAAGAACTGGTAAGAAAAAGACAATTCGTCCAAAAATCTGTCTTAAATTTGGTTGAAATTATCTTAAAAAGGTCTTAAAAAGAAGCATTATGTTGAGGTGTCTAATACCTGTAGACACTCTGGATAAAACATGTCCGATAACACTGTTTTAATTTGGTTGCAATGGCATATTAATCTTTAGTTAGCTTATATTTTAGGTACAACTTTTTTTTAAATTGCTTCTCGGAAATGCACTGAATTCAGGTGAAAAACCTTATTTTAAGGCCTTTTTTAAAACTCGAAAGGATTTCTTTTGAGTCTGTACGGGGAGTTTTGAGCGCATGATCCCAGTCAGCACTTGATCTCTGCGTCAAGGAGGCGGTGGGCCTGGTGTTAGACGGTCTGCTATACTTATATTTCTGGAGTTTAGTTGCCGCTTCGTAGGGAGCACTTGGGATATGAATGAACTTGTTTGTAGATCAGCGCTGTTTCAGTTATTTAAAAAAAGGAAAAGCTGAGCAGGAGCTCAGTAAAAGACGTCTCACTCCATTATTCGCTCTCTAGTGCCCTCTTTTAAGCCTTTTTTTTAATGTAAAACTTTGTACATAAGTAGGAATGTAGCACAGCATGGAAGTGCAATAAAGATGTTTTGTCCCTAAAATCAATGAATAAACATGATAGATAATTGTGATTATCAATTTTCCTCAATCATACACTCCTATTGATAGATTGATACCACTTTTATATATGTGTGCGTTAAATATAAAGCTACAACCCAGACGTCAGCCTAGCAGGCATAAAAATAGGGAGCACAGGGAAAAGCAATTGTAGAAGTTAAACAAATCACTTCTACCAGCTCCTCTAAATCTCAGCAACTAACATGTTGAACCTTGTTTGTTTAACCTGTCCAACGGAAGTGTAAAAAGGAGAAGTTGTGGGTTTCACTGCACTTTTTTTTTTCTTAGACCTATGCATGTGTGTGTCTTGATCTGCACAGTCTGCAAGCAGGAAGTCTAAAATTACATATCGTATTCATAGAAATAAAATTACTCTTTGCTTCTGTATCCATTCTGCCATTCTCAAAATGTCCCAGGCACTGTTTACCGCATCCAAGATGTGCGTGTTTGACCTGCTACAAAGCAGACCAGGGCTGGATGCAGCACAGGTGGCCCAGGAGATCAAAGCCTCAGTGAAGGGCACTGAATGCCTGCTGGAAGCCTGCGTGTCACTGGGACTGTTGAAGAGCAAACAAAGAAGTGAGTCAGCCCTCACCTCTGTTGAGATAACATTTAATATTTAACTTCAAATTAACTTCCCACACGTTTTATAGTGTCTGTACTCGAAGCGGGCCAGAGGCCAGGGTACGAGAACACAGATCTGGCCACGCGCTTTTTGCTGTCAGACGCTCCTTTCTCGCTGCGGGGCTACATCCAGCACTGCAACGACACAGTGTGGCCTCTCTTCTCCCACCTGGAGAGAGCTGTGCAGGAGGGGGCCAATCAGCGCGAGAGGGCTTTTGGCAAAGCGTCCAAGAATATGTTTCAGGTGACTGTCTCCAAGTTCAGCCAAGTGAAGGGAGAAAACATTTGAAAATATTTTGCAGATGCTATTTTTTTTACATCATTTGTTTCTGTTTAAAGGATACCTTCTACAACAGTCAAGAAGTCAAGCTGAGATTCATGAATGCCATGCACAGCATCGCTAAGGTTACGGGAAAGGCTGTCGCAACAGCCTTTGACCTTTCCAGTTTTAAAACTGCCTGCGACCTTGGAGGTAAGGGACGGTCGTAAAGCTGTAAAAGTCCACTATTGGATTAAGGGGATAAATGTAAAAGCCTCCTGAACAATGAACACTAAGGGAATTCTAACCAGGAGAAGTTTCAGCTGTTGCCTAGTTCAGAGCAATGTTTCACGACGAGACGAAACTGTTTTAGAACGTTGCAGAGAAATGTTTCAGTGGTTTGAACTGGCCGGTCTGAGCCCCACTTAAGTCATTAAGGTCACCCCCCCCCCCGCCCTCTGTTTCCATCCTCACAGTGTGCAGGTGTGGGACAGTGGGTCGCTGCTGCTGCTCGCTGTGTGTGCTTATTGATCCCCTCACACACACATTCTCATTGACTAACTTATTGGAGCTGCTTACTTCATTCAAATAAACACAAGAAGTTTGTGCTCTAATAAAAAAAAAAAAAAAAAAGGGATCAGCGCTCAGTGAATAATCCTCCTAAGCCCTACGATAAGCTATTATGGCAAGGCTTAACTATACAGACCCGTGAGCAGTGATAACTAACATGTCTTTGGGGTCATCGGGTGGGAACCTCCTTTCACCGGTGTTTCGTCTAGTTAGTCCCACGACACCTCCAGGAGGCTAGACAGTGATCTCTGGCGTCCCAGAGACACTCCCCTAATGCCAGGTCTCACTGCTCCCCGCACTAACCGAACAACCTCCTTTACCTTACCTATACTACCACAGAGGAGGTAGACCCAGGGAAGGCCTTGTTAGGCTATTGTGCCTGCTTTGTTTCTGTTTTCACCGTTTCATCACTACTACAAATGCAGCTGTAGCCAGTATCTCACTATCGCTATCCTCATTCATATTTTAAGAAGCTACAAATTATATTCAGCCACAAAATGAGCCTGAAAAGCTGCAAATCAGAACATAAGTACAGAGAGTTGTTGCATTAAGATGATACACTTCATTTAGTTGCATTGGTGTGAACCAGCAGGTTTTTAGAACGCTGCAGAACAGCGTGTTGCAAGTAGCTGTCTGTTTCATCTCGACTTTTTGCGAATCTTTGGTCTGAACTGGGCTTAACACATTGGACCTTTAAATCCCCGAGTAATAAACCAGTCTTGTATATGTATACATCATCTTGTTTTTGTTTTTTCCAAGGCTGCACAGGTGCCATGGCTTACGAGTTCACTAAAGCTCACCCTGGGCTGTCTGTGACAGTGTTCGACTTGCCATCTGTTGTTGAGATGAGCGAGCATTTCCAGCCGCAGCAGACAAACAACAGGGTGTCATTTGTAGCAGGTGTGTATCTGTGTCAAAACACAGTCTTGGCTGTCGATGATCAATGACAGAAAGTTATCTTAAATGTCCAGTATCTTAGATATCGAAGTAACTCACTCACTCACTCATGGCTTTGTTTTGTCTGCATGAACAGGAGACTTCTTTAACAATGAGTTGCCCAAAGCAGACTTGTACATCCTGGCGAGAATTCTTCATGACTGGCCTGATGAGAAGGTGCATGTTCTGCTGAGTAAAATCGCGGATGCGTGCACACCAGGTAAATTTAATCTTTTTAACTGCATGTTTTGACTAAACAATGAATGCTAACACATTTTATATGTGTATAAGTAAAGCAGTCACAGGCCAGTGAAACTTTGGAGTCTGCAGTTATCGATCTCTATAGCATGACTGTGGTGACTGAGTTAGTTCCCACATTCTGATAAAATCAGCATCTGATAAAGTCAGATGCTGTGTTGTTTGGTTTCAGCAATCTGCAGACTCTAAGGCCTCAGCTGAACCGCTGCTGTAAACCTGATACTGTCAGTGTTCAACTGATTTAGAATGTGTGATTAAATCTGTTATTTTGTGATATATAAAACAACACTGGCAAGAAGCTAGCCAAGCCAAAATACCAGTTTGGTATATTTGGTTTCCTCCTTGATCTTTATATTTTGCCTGAAGCAAAGGCATGCAAGGGGATAAGAGGTTACAAAACTACCACTATTGTTCTGTTAAGTTGTACATCTGCATACACATCATGCACTTGCACCATGCCGCCAGGCTGTGGACTCCTGCTGAGTGAGATCTTCCTGGATGAAGACAGAAGCGGCCCGAGTCGCGGGCTGCTCCAGGCCCTCAGCATGAGCGAGGGGAAGCAGAGGAGCGCGCCAGAATACAGTCTGCTTTTGAAGAGCCACGGTTTTGAAACGGCACATGTCATACATACAGAGAACCTTCTGGATGCTATGCTCTGCATCAAAGCGTGACTGATCCTCAGCAACACTATAAGGAAGGTCTTGTGATATATTGTATACTGTAGGCAACATTTGGCAAAATCAAGGCCTGAAGTCTGGAATGTTTTAAGATGAAGTGTGAGTCTGTAACGTGGTGATCCGATACAGACTGATCAGGATATTGTTTTGTATGTCTGATCGGACATTTGATAATGTTCCTTTGAACTTGGTTGTTGAACAGTCTCTTCTGTTGGGCCATAGGATGCGCAGTGCTCATAGCTGAGACCATGTTGGACGGACTGACACCCTACTCTGCCCTGCAGTCTCTGAACATGCTTGCCCAGACCGAGGGAGTAGAGAGGACAGAGAGCCAGTACGCAGACTTGCTGAGCAAACATGGATTTGGGGACATGCGTGTGGTTCACACTAAGAACTTCCTTGATGCTTTTATTGCCATTAAAATGTAGCATCTGAATCATGCAAACAGATCCTTGTGTATTTTATTCATTTCACTGTGGCAGGTGGTCTTAATTCAGTTTTTGGAACTTTAATCAGTCCTCTAAAGGTCACACCACAACAGATAAAATCAAATCTTACTGACACAAAAGTACAAGCAGTCGCATAAACACCATGCAACTCTTTTTGACTCTTCTATGATTTGATGTAGTGTGAAGTCTGCTGAGTTCATCACGCCACCGCAGTGTTATACATATCATATATATCTTGCTCGTGGTGCAGCTGCTTACTTATATCCTGTGTTTGCGGCTGTACAACCGTGAGAAAATCTGCATTAGTTAAAGCAGTGTTTGCTCACCAGGCTCACTGTGATGCTTGCAAATCAGTTCTGTGCTTGCTTTTTGCTTGAGCTGTAGAAAGAAATTGTGCATCATCTTAAAAGCAAGCTGATCCTCGTGGTGTGGAAATAGTTTTATCGTATTCACATACTACCCCATACAAGCACCATAAATCAGGGTTACATCCCTGAAACTCCACATGCTACTTTTTAATGTGGACAAAGCAGCAGCTGCTCAGGTCAAATGGGATGAGAAGCCTGTAACGGTCAAGAGCTTCATTTTGCATCAAGCAGCATTATTCCCTTAAATGTCTCATATTTTCTCTTAAGAGAAAAAATAAGAAGTTGACTCCAGATGTGTCAAATGTTCTTAACCATCCAAATCTGCTCTCCCCCAGGTGTGCTGAATGATGTATCCCTCTTAAACATAAGTAACCAATTAGCATAGGTAACAACCCCTAAACACTATATAAGAGCAGGTGTTGTGTCTTGCCCAAGCATTGGAGAGATGCCCCCCCAAAAAATGCTGCAAGCAGAGAGCTTCTGCTGTAGCGGAAAACTGTTAAATAAACTTAAAGTACATGTGATTTTCCAGAATGTCAGCACTGATTTTCAGGGGCGTAAATAAGACAGTGCAGGCATGGAGGTTGCATTGGGGCCCATGGGGTGAGGGGGCCCTCCAACTATTTTAGGCAGAAAACAGTTCCTTGTAAGTAATTTAGATTGCTACCTTAGAATTATACCTGTGTTCTCAGAAAAACTCCATTTGCCATTTGCTATATATGCCTTTGAAAAGGCAAACCCATCTCCATCATGTTTCTTTTCTTTGTAAATAGCCAGTATCAATCTATAACAAAATATGTTATGAAATACAGTATATGCTTTCTCTTCATTAAGTATAAATAAGCTATTAAAAAAACCATATAATTAAATGAATAATCCCTTATTTACATAGGTATTTTTGTCATATATGTGATGATGATTTCTGGGTAATATGCATGTTGGTGTCAAGTCTCTATTTGATCATGTGATGATAAGATTTTATGGTAGCCAGTTAAGGTGTATGACAAGTAACTAGCATGCCTTAGGGCTCCGTCATAATAGTGTGCACTAGCTTACGCCTCTGCTGGTGTTACAGGAAAATAACAATCCTAGCACCAGCAAAACAGTTGTGATGCTGTAAATGCGGTTTCAGTAGCAATGGCGGAGGAAGTGTTCAGATCCTTTACTTAAGTAAAAGTACTAATACTAAGATGTAAATACAAATAATACTCCATTACTAGTTAAACTGCATTCAAAATCATATTACAATGGGAGTGCAATCACGAAAATGTATTTAAGTATTAAAAGTAAATGTACTCCATGCGGAAGAATTTTAATCAATTTAATAAATCAAAATAAAGTAATTAAATAGTTGCCAGATAATTTCCTAATCAACTGCATTCAGCTGCACTTGTATTTTTACATGTTTTGTGCACAAAAACCTTAATTTTCAAAGTAACTATTAACTGATGTTATCAAATAATTATAGCGTAATAAAAAGCACAATGATTCCCTCTGAAGTATGGTGAAGTAGAAGTAGATTAGATAAGTTAGAGACACATTGTGGTGTGATGAGTAGCCTCCAACTGTCTCTATATGTATATCTTGATTCAACATCCTTGTTAGCACAATGTATTTATGTTATTTACTCTCTATCTTTATCTGTTATTACTTGATTTTAATCCAAATTTAATTCAGCCCCACTCTTAATTGTAATTTTTTAATTAATTTTTTCTATTTTTTTTTTTTTAATTTATTTATTTTGCTTGAGGTCGTCATATATACGGAAGCATATTGCATTCACTTGACAAATAAAAAAGCCCTGTTTTTCTGAGTAATTTTTTCTGTTTTTCTGAGTAATTTTTTCTGTTTTTCTGAGTAATTTATTTACTTTTCTGTTGTTTTTTTTTATTGGTGTAATATTTTCTGTTGTTGGTAGTAATTTTTTTCTGTTTTTCGGGGAATCTTTTTTTCTGTTTTTTTGTTGTTGTAAATTTTTTTCTGTTTTTCGGGGAATCTTTTTTTCTGTTTTTTTTTTTTGTTGTTGTAAATTTTTTTCTGTTTTTCGTGGTCATTTTTTTTCCTGAACCTGTTACTAATCTAACCTGTTACACTGAGCAACAGGCCTACACTAGAAGGATGCAGTGGAAAACATAGCTAGATTATCATACGCTGTGTGTAACTAATTACGTGCCTTACCCTTATTGATCCCGTAGTTGAAATTTTCTAGGAGCAGGAGCACGGATGCAAAATACATCCATGAGCAGGAGTCACCATGGATGCAGGGGTCACTTGCAGGTGCCAGGTGGGAGCTTCTCGCGAGATTTTGAAGTATCTCGTCTCCACAAAAAAAAAAAAAAAAAAAACTGAAAAAAAAATCCCAGGAAAACAGAAAATATTACTCAGAAAAACAGAAAAAATTACACAAAAAACAGAAAAATAAATAAATTACTTCGAAAAACAGAAAATATTACTCAGAAAAACAAGGCTTTTTTTATTGTCAAGTGAATGCAATATGCTTCTGTATTCATATGTTCATATTGCTTTTATACAAAAAAAAGTACAAAAAATTTGTACTTAAGTACAGTACTTGAGTAAATGTACTTCTTAACATTCCACCACTGGTCAGCAGAGGAATACAGTCACTGAAAGTATAGTAGTGTTTCTTTAGCCCACGAATATAATCTAAATTTGATTATACGATAATAAATAAAAATAAACTTGTTTTCTCACGTTGGAAAACATTATGTGAACTCTGAAAACCAGATGTTTTCTCTTATCTTGGTGGGCGTGCTCTTGACCACTCCTAAAATTTCTCTTGCCTTAGAGAATAGCAAAAATAAAACATCCCAGAATCAATGGGAACCAGCAAAACAAGAAAAAAATAAGAGTAAATTTGTTCATATATCGCCTCCTATATGAGGCCCATTGTTTCTGTACAGGGGGCTCATCAGCTCTCAGCACAGGGCTGCCTTTATTCTGGCATCTATCACACAGTTAAAGGTAAGAACCACTGTGATTACTTTGTGTGGCGTCCTCATTCCTAAAACACTCACACTGTGGTCAGCGGGCTGACGGCTGTGGCTGGAAAGTTCACCCTGCCTCTTACACACTCTGAAGTGTCATGTCCTGGTGATGCAATCTGCATGCAATGAGAGAAAGATGATTAATGAAGAAATAAAATCTAAGCAGCGTTATCGCCTAAGTGGGATGTCATTCTTGTACACTGATGTTTTGCGTCTCCCCAGCAGACATGACTTCATGTTCACTTGAACTCTGTAGGAGGCTGGTGGAGAGGATTGCCAGTGATGAGGCATGGGTGGAGCATTCCTCTCAGTCTTGTGTGCACTATTTAAACACAGCATACACTGTGGCCACATTTGGTCTGTTTGACCATAATTGCCCCTTTTTTTGTGAGGCATGATCAAACTGACTACTTATCCTGTGACATTAATCTGTCCCAAATTCTGCAGAGAAAATACTTTGCTTGTCACTGTTATACTTACAGTAGATGCACCTCCTATAAGTGATATTTGATACCCTGGAAATGGAAGCCAAATATTTATTTTGCAGTTGAAAGACTTGCTTTAGCTCCTTGCTGTGGCTGTAAACTTCCTCTAGATGGCACCACAAACCTGCAGATGTCTCCAGAAAAACTTGGAGACACAGAGTTCCCTGTTTTGTTAAACTAATTCTTTCCAGTGATGTATGCTGTGAAGATTGCTTGAATATAAAGTGACAGGAAGCTATCAGAATTAAGGTTTATGCGTCCAAGTTTGGATATTAATGTGTGTATTTTATATGTATGGTTGGGTAGGATAGTCACTTAATGCGTAGAAGCATACATGACACCATCCTTTAATTCCTTACAGATATACATCTTGAATTTCAGTTTGGAGGCAGCGAGTAAAGCAGCCAAACAGCTGATGGGAATGTGGGAATATATCTCCGGCCAGGATAAATAGCTCTTATTCTTTGTGACACTGAAAGTGTATCCGGACTACTCTTCATTTTGGATCCCTCTCTAAGTATTTTCCTAGAAGGGTAATAAGGGTGGTCATGTTATTCATGGCTATTTTCTTGTCAGTCTGCGCTCAGGCTCTTTGTGACATCTAATTGATTTCCATTACTCAGATTTTGTTCCTTCGATGAGGAGATACAAGGGGAGGGTGGGGTGGAGTTCAAATATGACACTGAGTGTAACTCCCATAAGGTTTGTTTTACCCTTAACACACACTGAACACATCAAAACACCATATACTGCAATACTTTCCTGCCACAGTGACTGTGAAAGTCAGCGTTGATTCAATAAATTCAGTACCTCAAACACATTGCATTACTGATCAGTTCTTTTTTAAGGCACCAAATTGTTGTGTAGCAGCAGAATGTCAGGCCAGCGAGACACAGATGAGCATCACAAATCAAACGGCACAGCCGAGTCTGTGTTCCCTTAAAACACAATGAAGCGTTTCCATGAAAGGATCTGCATATCCGTTCACTTCCAGTGTCCCATCTGCACCCTCTCACCCTCGAAATGCCTCAGCTTTTTGTGTACGAGCATCAACA